TCAAACTGCCCATTAACACAAGTGTTTGGGGGACAGGCGCAAAAACAAGAGAAAAATAGAACTGGAGAGAGACTACGTCTACCTTCACTATAGCCTCTCCTTGCCTCCTTGACAACTAGGGAGTGTTCCCTCATGATCTCTGCATCTTTGGGGATTTTATTCATTGTATTTGAACCAGTGGGAACATCTATGAAAACCAGAAAGAATGCCTATATTTCCAAAAAAACTATCCTAGAGATTCTCCCAGCTCCCAAGATTTAAGTATCTTCTCTGCATAACCAGCCAGCCAGCCATGTGTGTGTGTGTGTGTGAGTGTGTGTGTGTGTGTGTGTGTTTGTGCGTGTGTATGCATGAGTGCATAGTTTGTTTAATGTATGCATGAATACATGGGGCCAGAGGTGTATGTCAGGTGTCAGGTGTCTTCCTCTATTTTGTTATTTTCAGAAGGAGTCTTACTGAACCTGCAGCTCACCGTTTAGCATAGCCTGGCTGGCCAGTGAGTGGCTGGGATCCTCCTGGCTCTGCTGCCCGCCCCCACCCCTAGTGCTATGGGCTACAGATGTGCACTGCTGCTCTTCCGTGGGTTTGGGGGTCCAAACCTACTCTGTGCTTTTGCAGCAAGCACTTCAATCACCAAATCATCTCCTCAGCCTTTTTTTTTTTTTTTTGAGGGGGGTGGGGCAGGGTCTCTCTGTGTAGCTCTGGCTGTTCTGGAACTCACTCTGTAGACCAGGCTGCTCAAACTCACAGAGATCCACCTGCCTCTGCCTCCCAGAGTGATGGGAGTAGGAGACAAGGTTTGTATTTTGAGACAGGGTCTAACTATGAGGGTAAGGCTGGTCTCAAAATTATACTACTGCCTTCATCTTGCCAGAACAGCCTGGGTTCCTTCACCCATTTATTCTTGTTTTACACTTGTTCATAATTTATATTTGTTCATAATTAAATAGTCTGTCTTACAGCTTGTGTCCACCTTCAGGACTACAAGCTGGGAAAATGCCTGGTAATTAGGAGACAATATATATATATATATATATATATTTTTCTTTCTTTTTTCTCAGTTTGGGAGCATAGCCCCACCCAGTTTTATATCCATAGCCCTCACCCCTTGTCCCTTTAAAAATATTTGGTTTCCAGCTGGTCAAGGTGGTGCACACCTATAATCCCAGAACTTGATGAAGCAGAGGCAGGCAGATCACTAAGAGTTCGAGACCAGCCTGGTGGTCTACAAAGCTAGTCCAGGATGGCCAAGGTTACACAGAGAAACCGTACTCAAAAAAACAAAAAATAAAATAAAATAGATTTTTAATGCTGAAGAAATGACTTCTGGGGGAGGGGGTCCCTACCACCTCCAGTTTTCCCTTTCTATCAGAATCAGGATGTGGGTATCACTAACCGATGTAGGATGAACAGCAAGTAGATGAAGCTGATGACAAAGACGGAGCACAGGTAGGTGATGGCCAGGTTTGATCGGGGTGGGTAGAACCCGTAGAACAAAGGGGACCACTCTAGGTAACCCTGGGAAGGGAAAGGCACAACAAGGATGACTGTGGCACTGGATGGAGTCAAAGATCTGGGAGCTTGGTGACCTGTACCAGGTCATTGAGGACACCAAGCTTCAAAAGTGAGGATGTCCCTCTGGGAACCATGACACTCACCTCTCCAGAGAGCAAGTTGAAGAGCTGAGTGGGGAACGTGACTAGGCCTTGAGTGTGAGGGGTGTAGGAACCACAGGGTGAGGAGATGTTAGGGCCAGGGGGACCTGGAGGAGCCCCTTCCAACCAGGTAGGGATCAATTTCATGCAGACTTCAATCACAGATGCCACGAGGTTGAGGAAGAGAAGGAAGCGCAGCAAGGAGAAGTAGGACTCAGTGCCTGCTCCAAACTGGCCTGCAGAGGGCAGCAAGAGGCATCAGGTCCTCAATAGTGCAGTTAAGACCAAGAGTCCGGATTCCAACCCTCCTCCCTCAGACACAGCTCTCCTCCCTCAAAGCCAGGAGTCTAGAGCATGCCCTGTCTTCCCCTCAGACCCTGGAGTCCAGGAACCAGTCCCCCTCAGACCCAGAATCCCACACTCCGGTCCTCTCCTCTCTGATTTAGAGGGGTTCAGGCCTTAGCCTTCATCCTTCAGGCCACAGGTCTCTTTCTAAGGCCCAGGGGTAGTTTCCACCCCATCTGGAAACCACACTGCAGCCTTTCTTCCTCAGAGCCCAGAAGTCCAGCCCCCAGACCTCTTCCTTTAAAGCCCACCACACCCCCAATCTTCTTCAGCGTCCATGCCCAGGGCTGTATAGTTTGAAAGCCTTCTTTCATTTTCCCCTTGGTCCTGGAAAGCTGTCGCGTCCAGTGGGTAGCCCTAGATTCAGAGCCAGCGGCCAACTGCTCCCTAGCCTGGTTCTTCCTGGAAAGAAAGCAGAGTCATGAGCTGGACATGGTGGTGCAGAGGCAGAGTTCCAGGCCAGCCTGATCTACAAATCGAGTCCAGGACAGCCAAAGCTACACAGAAAAACCCTGTCTTGAAAATAAATAAATAAATAAACAAACCAAATAGAAATAAAGCAGTCAGAAAAATCTAATTTGTACATAAGAAGTCAGTCAGAAAATAATGACAGAGCAATGTAGGGTGGTGGACACTTACAATCCCAACAGTGGTGAGGCTGAGGCAGGGGGAGGCCCAGGACAGGCTGGGCAGATTACTGATATGCTTTTGAAAGAAAACGAAGGAACTAGGTGTGGTGTGCCATTCAAGAGTGTGGTCCCCTCAACTGGGAGAACAGGGTAGAAGGATTAGGGCAAATTCAAGGTCAGTTTGGGATAAGTAGAGATTTTAGGCCAGCCTGGATTCCGAGGGAGAACCTATCTCAATAAAACAAAACAAAATGGTTTTGCAAGTAAGGGTATTTGTGACCAACTTAAAACTTGAGTTTGATCCCTAAGCCCCACATGGTAGAGGGAGAAAATTTGTTGGGGGATGTTCTGTATACTATGTATTCAAATCCTGATTTCTGTAACCCAAAATCTGACGGCAGTCAGGACGTTGCCATTGTCATTATTATTGAACCAGCTCCTGTCTCCATGTTGTATAAAAATTGTTCTCTATCACCTCTGATTGCTTAATAAAGAGCTGAACAGCCTATAGCTGGACAGGAGAGTTAAGGTGGAACTTCCTATCCCAGTGGGGGGATTCAAGGGATGGGGGGAGGGAAGTCGGGGAGAAAGAAAAAGAGAGGGAAAAATGGGGGAGGAAGAGGGAGACAGAGGTGTCATGAGGGAGTTGACATGAGGACAGGAATGAAGAAAAGTAATGGGCCACATGACTCAGAAGTAGGATGTGGCCAGCATAGTCAGGTTTAAATAGCACTGTATCTGCCCAGCTATAGTACCTGAGGCAATTAATAAATATAATAGGTCTCTGTGAAATAATTTGGGAGCAAGGGTGGGCATAGAAAAGTCCTTACTTTTCCAAGAATTGACTCCTGCAAGTTGTCCTCCGAGCTCTACTGAAAGCCATGACACACTCATGCATGCTCTCAGGGACACACACACACCAAAATGTAAAAAAGAAAGAATAAACAAAACAAAACACCAAGAAGAAAGTTTGGGAGAAGGAGGAAGAACAAAAATAAAAAATGATTAAGTCTTTCTGATTCTCTTAACGCAAAGTTCAGAGTAAGCCCAGGCAAACCCTTGCTGGTGGTAAGGCAATAAAGAAAATAACCCTCTGAAATCAGGAAAAGTTACTGATAGGAAGGTGTGTCAGAAAAGAGCTGCTCACCTATGTGCCCGCCTTGCCTGCATAGGCCAGGGAAGTTCCCGGGAAGGGTGAGATTCCATTTGGGCAGTTTCTGCAAAGGCCTGAAGGCTCCTTCCCTCACCATCATCTTCATCCAGTGTTCCCCAAGGGGGCACACCAGGGCCACGGTATCTAAGAGTAGCAGCACTAGGGAGATCATTCAGCACTGAGGCCAGTGATGGGCCTGGGCATGAAAACAGTGAGATTGGAAGACAGAGGAATCCAGGCTACAGTCCTTTTCCCTCAGACCCAGAGTTCAGGCTCCAGCCCATTTTCTCTCAGACCTAGGGTAAAGGCCTCAGGTCCAGGAGCCTATGCCCCAACCTTCTCCCTCAGATCCAGGAGTTCAGGCTCCATCATTCTACCTTACATACAGGAATCCAGGCCTCAACCCAGCTTGCTCAGATCTAGGATCCCAACCTTCTCCCTTGGATACAAGGGTCCAGGCCCCAGCCCACCTCCCTCAGGCCCAGGGGTCTAGACTCGGGTTCTCCTTCCTTACATCCAGGGCTAGAGATCCCACCATTTCTCTTACAAACAAGATTTAAGACTCTAGCCTCTTTTCCCAAGTTTTCTAGGTGTGAGCTCCCAACTCCTTTCTACCCCAAGTGTAAGGCCAAACTTCAACTTCCTGCTCTCTTACTGCAGAGCTTCCTACTCCGACCCCTCCCAACTCTCTCTTGCAACAGTCTAACTAGGTCTTTGCACAGTTCCTCTTCAGGGGGTCTGAATTTCCTTCTCAGGAAACACAGGAAGTGAAATTCCCTTCTGCTCTCAGGATCAGGAAGCCAGCTTTTTCTTTTCTTTACGGATGGACCTGACTTTCCAGGACTCTCTCCTACCTGTTCTGGCCTTCCGAGAACTAGACCAGACCGTAGATGGACCCCAGGCTTCCCTGGGACTTTCTTCCATGTTTGTGGAAGTACTTTCTGGACCTGTTGTTTCCGGCTCTGGAGGCCCCCAAGGCGGAGACTGCCCTAGGTAAGGGAGGGGCCTGATGCGGGACTATACCTGGCCAGTAGGTGGCCCGGGGGTGACGATGGTACACTTCCAATGGAGCTGAGCCTCTGCTTTAAAAGGTCTGCTGGGAATTGAAGTCCTTACTGCCTCCTGAGCCTTCATGGCAGCCAGGACCTCAGTATGCCAAACTGGCACTCTGGGCTCAGTGTCCTCAGTTTGTCGCCCACAGATACACTCACAAACAGATGCATGTGTAACATTTTATTGGGAGAGATTTATACATTCTGACCTGTCACAGGCCAAGGATGACACTGGGTGGTAGGTTGTGTGGGGCCCAGAAATGGCTCAGACAGAAGCTACTTCTATAAGAGTGTGTTCCCCTGTGGCCTCTCACTGGCACCTCAGTTTCTCCTTCAGGATGTATAAGATCATGGTCTCTGAAATACTGGTTTGATGATAAAAAGCTAAGAGGAAAACAAGAAGGACACTCCTGCCCTCTCCTGATGCTGGCCCTGATGCTCCTGTCCCAATACTGAGGACCTACTGGGAGTTTGTCCAAGATGCCAGATGACTACTGGTCCCTGCCCTTGCATTCTGGGAAGTGTGGCTTTTAGAACACCTGATGATTGGTGCAAAGATGGACAGTAATACCCTGATATCAGCAGAGGGAGGTTTGAAAAAGGTCAAGATGCAGAGAGAACCTAGAAGGCCACCCCTAGCTTTGTTTAAGCCAGAGGGAGGGGAATTAGTTGGCAAGAGGGAATCCTCTCCAGGATCCCAGTCACACAAAGGATTCTTGGTTCACAGAATTCCCAAGAAAAGCTTGAACCGGCTGGCAGGTTAATGCAGCACAGCTCATTCTTCCCGGAGCTTTTCCTTGGCTTGGCTGGTGGTGGCCTGGGATGGTGTCTTCCTCTTGCTGGGGCTGCCCCCACCTAAAGCAAGCCCCAGCCCCAGGCAGGCCAGGGCTAGAAAGTGGACCCAGAAGTAGACGGAGGACCAGTACCGGAGTGTGTCACCCATGGAAAGGAGCACAAAGCCCATGCACATGTAGTCGTAGGCACGCATCTTCAGGAACCAGTGGACCCAGTCCCAGGCCTGCTGGCCCCTGGGGCTCAGATGTCCCCGCAAGGCTGACTCCAAATAGCCCTCAGCGGCCAGGCACAGCGGGATGGTCATGAAACTTAGGTAGTAGCCAGGGTGGAGGCCGTGCCAGTAGGCACTCAGCAGCATGGTCCAGGCACTCCTGGAGGAAGAGATTGAGTCAGGACACTAAGTCCAAGCTTCAGTCCCCACTGTCTCATGCCCTCATCCCTCAGACTGAGGAGGTCAGGTCCAGTCTTTCTTCCTGCATCCTGAAAGTCAAGGCTTTGACTCTTTGTTCATCCCTGGGGACTGAACTCAGGACCCTGAACACACTAGGCAATGCATCACTAAGCTGCATCCCCAGCATTCTGAGACAGCTTCTTAAATTATTATTTCCTTAAGTGTATGTGTGTGTCCAGTATCCGAGGGGGTCAGAAGAGGGCAGAACTGGAGTTCTAGATGGATGGGTTTCTTGCCTGCACTTCTGTCTGTGTACCATGTGCATGCCTGATAACCCTGGAGCCCCTAAGAAGGCTCCCCTGGAAATAAAGTTACAGACTGTTGTGAGCTGTCATGTGGGTGTTAGGAACCAAATTCAGATCTTCTGCAAGAGCAGCAAGTGCTCTTAACCACTGAGTCATCTCTCCAAAACTTACTTCCCAAACTTTTCAGGTCACAAATTCAGGCTCTGACCCTCTGCTAAGGAGGACACAGAAAGAAGCATTCTTTACTTCATTCTCCAACTGAGCAGTGACCATGAGCTCATGGGTTCTCTTCCTGCTTAGGGACCCATCTCTCTTGATACATCAACACACTCTAGTGGCAGAACAATGCTGACTGTACTACGATGAGAGGCAGTGGGAAAACCAGAGGTGAACCTTGTACGTTGTACAATCTCGGCTCTACTCATAGTTGCCGAGGGAAAACTCTCAGCCGTAGCAAAAAAAATATCTCCTGAAGTGGGGTACAGTTTAGTGGTTGTTCTTTTTAAAATTTCACTTTAATAAAATTTATTATTTCTTTTGGTCAACTTGACACAAACTAGTGTCATCTGAGAAGAGGGAATCTCAATTGAGAAAATGATGCCATCAGAATGGTCTATGCAAGGCTGTGGAACATTTTCTTGATTGCTGATTGATGTGGATAAGCCCATCCTGCCATGGGCAGTGAGACCCTGGGTAGATGGTCCTGGAGAGCTGATTAAGCCACAGGGAGCAAGCCAGTAAGCTGCACTACTTCGTGGTTCCTGCTTTGACTTCCTTCCACTGTGGACAACTGTAACCTGAAGTAAATAATTTCTTTCCTAAGCTGCTTTTATCATAGCAATAAAGACAGTGATGGAACACATGCCTGGTATGTCTGGGGCCCTGGAAACCAACATCTCCAGATGTTGCCAGGTGCCCCCTAAGAGGGTAGCACAATTACCCCTAACTGAGAATAAGTTATCAAAATATTGGGGCACCTTGGGTTTGACCTGACCCTGATGCCCAGGGTTTTATTACTATCATCTTTAATTGGTAACACTCAAATGTATTTTTTTTTTTTTAAAAGACAGGCTTTCATGTAGCTTGCCTCAAAGTCAAGCTGATCATGCCTCCACTTTCTAAGTGCTGTGATTACATATGCACACCGCTACTTAGACACTACCAAATGAATTACATCCCCAGTCCACACTTTTCTAACATTTATTCATCCATTTATGTAAGTATGTATGTATGTATATATGTATGTGTGTGTGCGCCTGTGTGCCATGAAACATGTTTAGTGACCAGAGAACAACTTGCTATAGTCAGTTCTTTCCTTCCATCATGTGGGTCTTGGAGATGAAACTTGGGTGGCAAGGCTTGGTGGCAAGTGCCTTTACCAAGTAATTCATCTCAATGACCCTTTTTATTGTTGTCGTTTTGAGGTAAGTGTTTCACTTTGTTATCTAGGCTGACCTGTAACTCACAAGCCTCCTGCTGTAACCCCCCTCAACTCCAGGGCAGTAAGCACCACCTTTGCTTGGCTGCAGCAGCTACTTCTAGCACCTCTTCCTTAAGTGGCAGCATCACATTACCATCTCCCTCTCCAATGACACCCCTCCCCCC